TTTTAAAATGTTTGCATTCCTCTAACATTTGCTAGCGGCAGGCTAAAGTTCTTCTACATAATAAAAAAAACATTGTTAAACACCTGAGTGGTGCACTACCGCTACTAGTGGTGAGAAAGTGTATTGCAACTCCATCAACTGAAAACCAATGACATCCCGTGGATCTTACAGCCCATAGATGAAAAACATTTCTCTTTTGAGGTCCTCAAGCAGGCTATCACAGCTGAATTGTGGGTCACGGCCCAAGGGTCAAGAATCTTCTGTGAATCACATTCATACACTGGTGGGACACACATCAGAGTCTGGGTCCAACTTGTAAGTCTTCCATTGTTGACATCTTTTAATTTGTAAATAAAAAGTTTCTGTGCCTCTATATAGTCAYRAACCTCTCTATCAAACTAGAAAGAACTGCTCTGGAAGTTAGAAGGGGTGTAAAGTGCCTCGATTGGATTTAAAAAGACAGCCTCGAAATGTGTTGATATGAGACGCACTTCAGAAAATAGGTGAAAGAGAGGTTAGTGGAGTTACAGTAAGGAGGAATATAGACCCTAAATGAATAATTTAAACATGAAAAAGAAGGATTTAAAACCATTATATTTCTCCATTAAACCTTTGCAGTAACTTAATGCTGTCTTTGTAGAATTTATTGACATTTATTAGCTGTACATCTACACTTCATTAACATTTGAGGTTAATTCAAWTCAAGACAGATGCCAAATCTAATCGATCTTAGCCTTCTGAAACGGCCATAACTTGGTGAGTTTTACAGAAATATGTATAGCCTGATTGTGCAGATTGACTTAATTATAAGTGCATTGCTTTCTAAATAATGAACTTGGATTCACAGAAAAGCACAAAAAGGAAAATTGTGCCGCAAGCACCCCAGTTATTAGGTCATACCAAAGAAAATCAGATTCATCAGAAAATTGTTGTGTGGAAAGAGACGGCGTCCTACTGCTAGCAGAGCCCAGTCCATCCAGCCGAGGTGTCTAAATGAGGTCTTTGTCTAGATAAGTCCCTGTACGCAGAACTCTCTCTCCTGGAACGCTCACTGCAAGACCACTTTGTCTTCTCACGTTTAATACCGGTGTGTTTCAAGGCTGTGGTGCAAATCACAATCTCATGGTGATTTAAAGTTGGTTCTAAGCAAAAAGGAAAAAAAAGGGGTCCAACTGTTGTAAAGGTTGCCAATTGTGTTATGACTCATGCTTTTGCTTGATCTTTGAAATTCAAATCCACTCGGTTTCAGTTTTAGTCGTTTGTATTCTGCTGCTTTCGTCAGAAGGCCCCGAAAAGTGGATGACAAAGCCRTCAGAATTTCAGAAGAATCAGTTTCAGCTGAGCCCGTGTGCAGCGTTTGCACTGCAGTCGTTTTTGTTTTGTTTTTTTACTGCAAGGSGGTACCGACAAGTGAATCGATGGAGATGCTGGACTGATAGAAGCTGCCTGTAATTTATTTATTTTTTCTTTTGATAGCAGAAGGGGATGTACAAACCTCACCTCTCTTTCATCTTCAGATGACAGAGCAGAGGAAGCAGAAGCAGCGGATCGGCCTGCTGGGTCACCCTCAGCACATGAACGTCAACCCCCAGCAGCCAGCGTGAGCTCCTGTCGGCCCTCCACGTCGGCTTGGCGTCTGCGTTCGCTCCTCGCGTCGGCGTCTCACATACAGAGTGACGCCGAGTGTGAAAGTACCTTAAAACGGTAGGGAAACCCTGTAGTATAGTTAGTTATAAGGCGACGTGTAGCTCTCCCCCACACAGGTGTTACTCCAGAACGTAACCCTCAACCTTCCTTTTCTAGTTAACACAGTCAGAATTGGTGCCAAATACTTATTTATTTATTTTTGTTTGTTTGTTTTTTGTGCACAAAAGAATTGGATTTCTCAACACATGGCCTTGAACAGTTGAACTTGAATCATGATAAAATTGTTTTATTATTTGAAGGTTTTCTATTTATATCCCTGACACTATGAGCAGTATTTAATGTCTAATTTTTTTATGTTGTGCAATACGATAACTTAAATAATATGCAACCTAAACGGTGTGTGCATTTAAGTTCTGACAGTTAGTTAAATCTACTGCTTTAGTTTTTTTTTCCCCTTTGGCTCTAGATTATTATGGTGTTATTTGTTTGTACTTATACAGAAATATAGATGATACAATAAGCTGGTCTTCACAGTCGTAAGTCTTTAAAAAGCTCATCGTTTAAGAACTTCTGCAAATAGCGTACTTTGAGAGAGCAATATAAATATAGTTTACTTCTGCCTGTTTGTGTCTAAAGGTCATATCTAACTGCTAACTTGGTTTATGAGAAAATAGCTTTCTTATTTAACTGGGCTGTAACAGGAAGTTAAAATTTGTTTAAAATTTCCCTTCAGTGTCTTTGATGCTATTAGAATATGCTCAGGAATTGTGTAGTTTATTCAAAACCAATTACCATGAATAAGAGTACTTCGTTTTTGCTGCACACCACTATTAGCACCTTTTTTTTGGTCTAGCTGCTTCTGTTAACGCCTTAATTTTTTTTGTTCAAGTTGAACTTTTTAGTTGCTGTGAATGTTTTTTTAACTGTATGTATATAAGGTTTGTTACTTAGTGTACCTTTTTGCTTTTGTATAGAAAAATAAGATAGGCAGAAAAATGTTACTTGAGAATGTTAAGAATAAGGAAATGAAACAATGCTGATTTGTATATTAATGTGAAATTATTAAAAGTAATATAATCATGCTTTATTTGTGCTTTATTTGTTGTTGTAAGTCAAACTCAAGTTTTATAGCAAATATATTTTAATCATGTCTTAAAGAGTGTTTATAAATATATATTACTGACCATAATAATCATATATGTTAATGTGGCTGGTTCACTGATACCAGTTATGTATTTATATAAGTTTGTACTCTGTACAATATAAATAAAATATATGTTTTACTGGTAGAATCTGATTAAATAAAATATTTATTCGTACAAAAATTAACAATATTTTACTGGTAATTTGTCAAAGTTTACCACTGCAGTGTGAGTTTTTCACTTCAAACATGAAGTCGTTTACGTCACTGATTATTTTGGTTTTCAGAGAAACGATGTCTGCTGACTGGAAATCCTTCTCCGGTGTCTGAATCTCAAACCTCTCAGCAGAACATGATCCGCAGGGTTGTAAAAAGGTATTAAAAGTATTAAATTTAACTTCAGAATTTCTGTATTACACCCTGATGAGGAGTGAAGCGGGTCGGACTGAAATATTTKATCAAGTCAAAAATGAACCAAGCCTTTTTTTCTTTAGTAGCACACTTATTTTGTCATACCTAACTTGCATGTGAGTCATATCACAATTTCATAGTATTTTCAAATTAATGCTTTCCCCCCCATATTGCATGACTATCCCACGTCAAAATTTATGACAAGTCTGTTATCATCATCATCAGCTCATAAAACGTACTTTAGTAGAAATTCCCTAATAAACAATGTCGCCAACTGACCTTTTTACAGCGTAAGATGTAGGACGGGGAAATTTAAGAAGCATTTATCTTCATCATTTTTAGTGCAAAGCCAACATTTATAACCGTTTCYTCACTGTTTTATTGTTTTATGAATATAACCTGCTGTGAGGGGAACAGAGCAGTGAAATGTGGAGGCTTTATTCATTTATACAGGAAGCCACAAACAAAATTTTGCTCCGGGGCCAGATTTTCTCTTACCAGGATGTGATGGCCAACCTTTTGGTGCAGATAAGAGCAATAAAAACTAGATACCGCATAGTGGTAACATAATGACCCCCGCACGCACCAGTGTACCAGAACTCAGAGGTCTTTAATGTCATGCTACTAGGTGCATCCCAAAATTGTAGTGGTTTGGGGGGGGGCATTGGTTGGCCTGGTGGATAGCCCCAAATCAGAGTTAAACAACAAAAGAAATCTGAAGCTCCTWTAWTGAACAGTTTCTGAGTWATGAGCATGCATGTCCAAACACCCCCTCGGATGGAGCCCCCTCCTCAAATATGGTGCGTATTGTCAAACCGTAGTGCAGTGCAGGTCGCACTCTGCCAAATCTCGTGTTGATCAGTGCAGCAATTTTTTGTGCTACAGTTGACCAAAAATCACTGAAAAAACAAACAAATAAATAAATAAACCAWACAAAAACAATATGGCTTACGCTTCGAGTGCGGGAGGTCATAATAGAAATATTTGATGGGAGATTTAAATCAGTTGCATCATGTTACATTTAAAACTGTTTTCTAATTCAATTTAATGCTAAATCGTTTGTTCGCTGAGAATATTTAGTTCTGCAGACATATTTGCGTGATGGACCCTTATTTGTGTTTCATCACTTTTGCAGAAATCAGAGGTTTTTCAATGCTGCAGGATGGAAAGTGACTGTCCAAGAGCTTTAAAYGCAGCTTTGAATGCAAACCAGTGGCCATAAAAACAGCCATCAGGACCGGAAGTGGTCCGCGGGCCGATAGTTAGTCACCCCAACTCCGCTCATTTTTGAAATGTACTAATAAAGCCGAACAATTCTTTTTCCTCCAATCCTATCAGTTTGTTGTTGATGTCGGAGCCTGTCCCGCTGCCTCCTCCGCTCGATTCGGTTCGGTTCGGTTCGGCTCGGCTCGGCTCGGCTCGGCTCGGCTGACTGTGTTGTTTTGAAGCTCCTTCTATAAATAAGCTGTCTGCTCCGGGACGTCGGCGGGTGGGACCGACTGTCCAGCCGGGCTGTCTCGGTCCGGGTTGGTCTGTCTGGCTGACGTCAGCGGCAGGGATCCGCCGCTCGCTCCATGAGGAGCTCAACGTGACAGCCCAGCAGGACAGCAGCAGCGGGAGTTAAAAAAACACCAGCCTGCTCCGCTGCAGCCACCGGCGCACGTGCCGCACACCGAGCTCGGCTCGCGCAGGTCCACAAGGCGCGGTAAATAAGAGCCGTGGCTGCTTTGTTTCTGCTCACAGCCTACCTTTGTTCCGACCTGCATGCTGATTCAGCAACTTCATTACCTGATTGGATACTTTGATTCTTTTAAACTGATTAATTAGTCTACCTTTTTTTTTTAACAAGTTYCCCAAAAACCTACACTGGATCCAGTTCCTCCAAAAACGTTGTTCTGTTTTTACTTCAATATATTTCCTCTGTTTTTTTATTATTAGTTTTTAGCTGCAATTCTGCTATTTTTAGCCTTTAATGTTGACGTCAATGTATTTGTACTGGTGACCACCGCAAACAGCACATAACAGAAAGTGACCAAAGTAATTTAAAATGCAGTCAAATAAAAATGTAAAACAAGAACTAGAAAAGACAATATTGTGTCATTAAAACATCACAAAGAAAACAAACGTGTAGATTTAATTGAACCTGTATTTTTTTTATTGCAACTTTTAACTTCCAGCCATGCCTTTGGCATTTTAATGCTTGAGCTAAAATTTTTGCTGCTTCTAGCTATTTCAGCTGCTTCCTCAAGTTTCAGCAGGTGTCGGAGGTCATTTCTCTAAACAACTGAAATAGTTGTTTATTTAATTTATTTTTATTTACTTTTTTATAGTTGTATAGTATAGTGGCCATAATTGTATTTTAATACACTGAATAAGATTCATTTTCAAACTGCATAGGTCATTAGTTTTTAATTTTTAATTTAATTTAATTTTTATTTTATTTTACTTGTTAGGCTACTAAAGTGTTTGATGTCAACACATTGTTGTTAAAAACGTTGAGTTTGCAGTTCGTATGATGTCGGTGTGAAACTGTTGCTCCACTTCCTGTCTGTGTAAACACACGCGCGGCTCTACAAACAGAGAGGGGCTCGTGAGGAGAGGAGCGTGGAGCTCCACGAGACTCGCCCCCCCTCCCCTCCTCCCCACAGTACTACAGAAGTGGGAGGGGCTCAGGAAGGAGGGGGGTGGGGGTGGTTGTGTATGGCTGTGGCGCTGGCGGGAGAGGTGGGGGGGGGTGAGGAGCTGAAAGAGAGCGCCGCCCGACACGTGAGGCTCATGTGACGGAGCGGACTCAGTTTTCTCTCGCGGAGGCAGCGACGTGCCTGCAGTCAAGTCGCAGGGTTTATTTAACACGTCGTCACGAACCCACCCAGCGCTCCACACGCAGACAGAAGCCGGCCGCAGAGAGGGAGCCTTGCCCGGCAGAGCGAGCTCCGACCTCAGGGTGACAACACTCCACAGCAGGGACACGCTCCAGGACACGCTGTTATTCATTGATTTCTTTCTCTTTTTTTTTTCCTTTAAGCGCCGCTACCTTTTTGTTCGACTTTTATTTTTCTTGACAGCGAAATGGAGAGGATTACAAGTGCGCAACCACCTCCTTATGCACCGAAACACCCGTCAATGGATATAACTGACATGCACCGGTAAACAGACTTTTTTTATATATGTATATATTCTCTGATAAAAGACAAACAAAAACTAATAACCGTATTTTCTCTCCAAAGACTGGACTTTCCTATTTATATGTGCAAATCCAGGAGGGGTGCAAAGCGCGGGGATGAGTGCAAGGTAAAGTTCTGTTTATTGAAATAATAATAATAATAATAATAATAATAATAATAATAATAATAATAATAATAATAATAATAATAATAATAATCAAACCAGTGGTGAGAAGTTCCTGACATGGTTTGAAACCCTCTGACAGGAGACCTACAAGCTGCCGCACAGACTCATAGAGAAGAAAAGACGAGACAGAATAAACGAGTGCATCTCTCAGCTGAAGGACCTGCTGCCAGAACATCTGAAGCTCACGGTGAGTCTAAACTTATTCTGCTCAGCACTTTTACACTTTCTCTTTTGTCCCCAATTTTAAAAAAAATGCAAACTTTGCTACAAGTCGTTTATTCTGCTTGTAGTTTTAAAAAGTCGATTTAAACATTTCTGTTTGCACTTTTGGGGGGGGATTTTGACGAGGTTTTGTGTTTGGTTGGCGCAGCTGGTCGGGTGTTGGCAGCTTGTCCTCTGTTCAGCTGCAGAATGTGTTACATAAGTAAGATCAACATGCTTATCGAAGGTCTTCCTGTTTTAGACGCTGGGTCATTTGGAGAAAGCCGTGGTGCTGGAGCTTACTCTGAAACACATGAAGAGCCAGAACACGGTCCTGGAGCAGCAGCAGCAGACGATCCTGGCGTTGCAGAAGGACCTGCGGTTCGGTGAGTCTGACGTCTGGTTGTTTTTTGCCTTTTGAGACGAAACTTTGCGAGGAGCCGAGGTTTTATTGTTCGATTCGCTGCTTGTTGTTGGGACAGGTGACCGTGGAGGCGATGGAGCGGAGAGCAGCGAGGAGATATTCCGCTCCGGGTTCCAGCTGTGCATGAAAGAGGTTGTGCACTACCTGGCCAGCCAGGAGATGAGCAGGGACCCGAGTCCGTCCGGCTTCATCAGTCACATCCAGAAGGTGGCGGCTGAGATGTTCCACCATCCGAGCGGCCTGCGGCCGGACGAGCCCGCCCTTCAGGGTTCAGAGAAGGTGAAAAAGCCAATCGGACCACCGGCAGTGTCCTCAGAGGCGCCCGCCAAGAACTGCGTTCCAGTCATTCAGAGGACTTACCAGCACGGGGCGGGGGAGCAGAGCGGCAGCGACACAGACACGGACAGTGGCTACGGGGGAGAGCACGACAAGCCCAAAGCCCTGTGGTCCGAGAACTACAGGAGGGAGGGGGACCTGAAAGCCCCCGCGGCCGAGAGGACGGCCGGCGTCATCAAGCAGGAGGGCGACGAGCCTCGGGTCAAGAGGTCGAGGGCAGACTCCCCCGAGGACGAGGTCCCSTCTGTTCACGAGGTGGCAGCTCCCGGCAGCTACATGAGCTTCGCCCCCAATCAGCCCCCGTTCTGCCTCCCCTTCTACCTCATCCCCCCCTCGGCGGCGGCGGCGGCTTCGGCCGCGTACCTGCCCATGCTGGACAAATGCTGGTACCCTGGGGGCGTGCCGGTCATGTACCCAGGCATGCGTGGCTCTGCGGTGAGCCTGGCCCCGGAGTCCCTGCCCCCGTCTTTGGTGATGTCGCCGAGGCCAGGGTCCCCCGTACCCCACCACACCCTGGTGGACCCCCCCTCTGTCCATAAAGCTTTAAGGCAGGTCTGCCCTTTGAACTTGGAAACCAAAAACTGAGCCGAGGCGTTTTGGTCAAAATGGGACTCTTTGAATGTTGAACGGAGGGTGAAACAAGCAGACTGGTACCCCCCTCAGTGCACAGCTGTACTCCGGCGGTCCATCASCACGCTGGCCCCACGTCAGAACCCTTAACGGTCATCAGCCCCCCTGACTTGGACTMAAACAGGAATTTGTCGGTGTAACGTGTGGTACCCGTGAGAAGACTCAGATTCCATGTTTTGCATGTCTCTGGAACACTGTGAAGGTCTGCTTAAAGGACGCACAAAAGATTTTGAAGTTCATTTTTAAATTTATCTTGTCCTCTCCAGACGTATTAATGAATGTCAGTAAAAAATAAACAGAATGTAAGCCCACCTCACCCCCAACTCCCCCTTTTGAACAAACGGTTCAGATCTACCGTGTACGTAACGGGTCTGTGATGAATGTCGAACATTTTTTAACGTTTTAAAAAGCCCCTTTAGATGCTGCCGTAGGTCTGCGAACAAGTGGTCTACTTTCAGTGTTTGCCTCACTTTTGTACCAAAACCATAACTTAGTCTGAGACGTTACCAAGATGAGCCCACCTGGTTCACGTCGACCAGGGATGTTCCTAAAACAACATGGCTCCTTTCACTGCTGGCTTGTGCCGAACGCAGGAATTCCTACCGTTTAGAGGAATCAGGGGCGTTGCCACTTTTARCAGGTGCATCGGTTTAATCTGGGACTCAGTGGCTGATGTTTTTATTTGTTATTATTCTTTTTGGAGACCCTGTGATATACTGTAACTAATATTTCACTTGTACATTGTTATTTTTGATACGTGACCCACTGAGTGTATTTGTGTGTCTGCCAGAGGAAGGATGAGGTAGCGGTGTGATGTGGCGCAGAGAGAGTTGGTCTTGCACACAAACTCTTGCGTCCCGAGACCTGATCTGAGCTGCTTCTTTTATTTAACGCAACGATGACTGGAGTTTCAAAATAAACCTGCTTTAAATCTTGTGTCTTTAGAAAAAAGAATGTAAAGTTAAAAAAATAGAAACAACAGTTTTGTATAGAAAGAGGTTTTCTGGATTTTTATTTTGACATGTTAACGCGAAAAGTTGTACATATGCTGTATATAGTATTATTGATATATATTAAAGTATTAATAAAGGTTTTTCCTCCCCTGTGGATTTAGTTGTTGGGCTGCCTGTTGGTTCAAACGTGTTGCTGCCAGCCATCCTGACAGCTCCTCAACACACACTTACATAACACTTATGTAACCTGTAAAGCTGCACAGCCTCTGTAAATCAATAGCATGTCTTAGATTACAGGCTGGAACCAGACTCCACAGGGCTCCTAAGGAACTTAACAAAAAGCTATAATAAATTTAGTTTCATTTCTTTATYGCCGTAACACGAAGCAGTGGTAACTGTGTGGGGAGAATTAATTTCAAGACCATAATAAGGTCTTAAAAGAAGCACTTTAAAAAGAGAGAAGCTGTTAGTGGTGTTGGCATGTGAGAGTCTGAGAGCGCTTCTGAAACTTGGAGGTTGCAGAGAAACTAAAAAAGATTCACTTTAATAATTATTAATACTGATTGCAAGGCCACCTTGTGTGTTTCATGGGTGGTAATGTTCATTCTAGTTAAACAGTGAAAATAAAAAGGCCTGCATCATGGTTTGCTGCTGCTCACCACCCACCATGTCTCCCTGGAAGGTGAGGAAGTTTTTCTCTTCTTATCACAACAGTGTTTTCTTTTTTTTTTCTTTTTGTTTTGACTACACATCAGTAAAAATATCAGCTGCCTTCAAAGCAACTCTTTCCAGAGCGACTGGAACTAAAAAGTGCAACACTACCGCCACCTTGTGGAAGTGGAGCATAACACCATGCTGACGTCAGAAAACAACTGAAACCATCAGCTGATTATGATGCTGCCCACAGCAAATAACCTCTCGTTTAAACATGTTATTTTTTTATTTCATTTATTTTTTTTTTGCCATTTTTGTGTATTTCAAGTTATGTTTCGAGGACGTATTATTTTTATCAACCTATTTTCACATGAACAGTCCATGGGGTTCCTT